GGGCCGGGGCCGCTCCGCGCCGGCTCAGCCCGTGAGCGCGGGGCCGGGCAGAGGGCCGCGGCCGGGGACCAGCGTTCCGCTTTCGGCGTGCCTTTTTGCGTGGCTACTGCTGATGTACTGCACGAATTTCTGTGCCTGCCCTTTTTTGTCTAAGAATTTGAATGAATATTAAATTAGATAATTAACATAGTGTTGGGTGTTGGACAGTTTTCTTAATTCTAGGCCCCAAGTTTGGTTTGTGAAATACAATTCTTTACGTTTCTAGATGAGCTTAAATCGATGTAACTAAAAATTTAAAGAGTGAATACTAAAAATTTAAGGGTGAATCAATACTTTTTCACTGGAAAAAATATAATCTGTTGCAAAAGTAATAAAAATAACATTAAATTAGCTAAAAATAGTTACTGTTGAATGCAACTGGGTGATTTAAAAAAGGGCAGAGAAAAAACCCACCACTAATTTTGAGCCCATCACTTAATTTGAGAAGATTAAAAAGCAGTTTTCCCTTTCCATTGACTAGTATGTGTTATGAACTGTTACAGTAACTTCCTTGGCTCAAGTGTATAATTGCTTTCGAAGATTGGTTAGATTAATCTTACAGCTCTCTGTACCTTGTTAGCTTTTCTTTTTATAGCACTTACATAATCTATACTGGAATTGGTTGTGTGTTTGTATTACGCGTTTAATCTTGAGTTCCAGAAGATAAAATTGTTTTATTAATTTCTGTGTATCCCACAGTGCTTTTCACATATTAGATGTTTAGTAAACGGAGAATTACTTCTTTAAAACCCCCTTACTATTTTCAACTTTGGAACCTTGAAGTATAGACTCGGAACATACATTTGGGTTGGTGGATAAGAAGATACACAAGCAGTGGGAACAGGGAAGTATAATAACAGTATGGTTTCTCTTTATTAAAAATGTGGGGGTTCTTTTAGAGGTAGAGGTTTTGAGTCAAGCAGAGGCAAGCCATTTCCTTCTAAGCTGTTTCCACTGGTAAGGTGGTTTTGTGTTTAATCAGTAGGCATGTACGATAATGTAAAATTGAAACTCTTGAAAGCAATTGTATATCTGAACTAAGGAAGTTATTATAACAGTTCATGAGATATGCTGGTTAAAGGTAGGAGGAAAATTGCTTTCTACTCCGTCATCTCAAAAGATAAATCAGGTGATTTTTAAAAAAAGATTTTTTTATGGCAGTGATTTTCTCCATAAGAAAGTGAAGAAAAACTCCTATATAACCTTGTGGACCAAGGCTGTTACTTTATGTATTTTATTATATTCTCAACATTTCTTATTTGTTGAACATCAACGATATAGAATATAATGTTGCTTACAGTTTTAACAGGAACAGTGACGCACAAATAACTAAAGAAATAAACGTAAAAATGATACGACTTTTACGTAAATTACAGATAACTAAAGAAATAAACGTAAAAATGATACGACTTTTACGTAAATTACAGATAATGTGCGTAGAAAGTTTAGAGAAGTGTTATTTGAGTCAGTTAACCTTCTGAAAGATAGAGTTGAAACTGTTACTCAAATGGGGAGGGAATACATAAATGAAGAGAGGGAATATCTGAGGAGTTTGTAGGATTGGATTGAATTGCCATGTTTGGCTAGAGCAAAAGACAGGAGGAGAAAGTATTAATAGACCACAATCAGATAATGGAAGATCTTAAATGCCAAGATGAAGAGTTTGTCTGTTGAGGGGAGCGTTAAACATTTTATGCAGTGAATTGTTGCAGTTTATACGGACTGACATTTGGTCCTTTCTTGCTTGAGAATAATTTATAATTTCAACGTAGTGCTTCACATTTCTTTGCTGTTCCACAGCCTTATGTCTGTATGAGGTGGCATACAACAACTTGTTTTTGTAGTATCTGTCATTAGACATGATGTTTCAACCTACATTTTGATGGGAACAAAAACACTAAAATCATAGCAGTGCTAGTCTATTTTGAGTCTAAATTTTTTATTGAAACTGGTTTTAAGTATACATTATGTGTAGATTCATTTTAGCATAACTCTTTTTCTTTAGTGTTCAAATAGTAATTTCAACAATTCTTTCATTACCAGAAGCATTCTAGAAGTTAAAACCAAGGATTAGGTAAATGATAAATGGTAGTTAAATTAAGCTGCTAGCAATGTTTACATGTAAATTCCAGAGTCATTCTGATTTTTGTTCAGTTTTCTGGGCAGAATGATTGTACATACGTATTGCGGTGTGTGTGTGTTACATTTTTGTATCCAGTAGATTTTTAAACATTTCTTCACGCATAATTCAAACTCAAGTTCAAAACGGAATTCATTATGCTTAATAATAATAACCAGGGTGTACTAATGTTTAACTGAAAACCGTTCTCCAGAAGCTCTGATTTGTGGTGATTGCCAGTTTCCTGTGATGTAAATACCTTAACCACGGGCAATTTCAAGCTACAAAATGGTGTTACCAAATACCCATAGATTCGGGAAGAGATTAAATACAATATACCTTTACATGGTGTATCTATGATACAGACATAATAATGTCATGAGGACAGTAGTAAAATGTAGTAAGGAATTATGGTTTTGAATATTAATAACTTTTAATGTAACTCATTTAAAGTTGCATTGTTTTAATAACTGTCTCAAAATTTCTAAAAATTTGATGATATCTCATTGACTAGTGAAGGAGTAACCAGTATTGAGTTAATAATTCATTAAGAATTATTGATGTCAGTTTTCATGCTACAGTTTGAAATTTTTATTTTTTTCATAGTACTGGGGATTGAATGCAGGGCCTCTGGACAGATACATCCCCAGCCCTTTTAGAACATTTATTTTTTATTTTGAGACTGGATCTCACTAAATTGTTAGGTTGCCGAGGCTGACCTTGAATTTGGCATTGCTACTGCTTCAACCTCCCAGAATGTTGGGATTACAAGCATGTGCCATCACACCCATCTTTATTTTAATCTTTCCAATAGTTCTGTGAATCAGTGACAATTCTTATTTTACTGATTGTGTAATTTGTACAAGGAGACAAAACTTCAGTTAAATAAAGCTACTTCATGAATTTAATCTTTAATCTTGAAAGCTGTTTTTTTTCTCCCACACCAGTAGATACTGTCAGTTGAGTATGTTTATTTTTCATTTGCTGTGCTGGAAGTCAAACTGAGGATCTTGCTTATGCTAACAAAATACACTATCACTGAAACACTCTGAAATCTGATTTATTGCAGTGATTTTCAGATGTTAGCTTGCATAAGAATCACCTGGAGAGCTTGTTTTTAAAAAGTACCGGGGCCACTCTCATAAATTCGGATTCAGCAGGTAGAGTATCTGGCGCCCTGAGTGTGTGCATTGTTAAGATGTTCCCCATAATGCTACACTGAGGACAGCGCCACATCAGGCAGGGGCTGACAGACTTGCCAGGGCAGGGCCAAATGGTAAGTATTTTAAGCTTTGCAAGCTAAGAGGCAAAATCCAGAATATTACATAGAAGTGAGAGAAAATTTATGATGAGAGAAAACAAATATCCACAATTTTTTTGACTGGATTCAAAACATGATAACATTAATGGAATACAGTTTATTATAATACAAAGTGAAAAGACTGAAATTGGTTTGGGGGGAAGAAGATTAACATTTCACTTAATTGTGTCTTTAATCATAGGATTCTGATCCTATTAGAATTGATTTTAGTTTGTAGATTTTTTTCAGTTAAATAATGCTACTTTATGACTTCAATTTTTGAAGCTGTTTTTTTTTCTCCCCCACACCAGTAGATACTGTCAGTTGGGTATGTTTATTTTTCATTTGCTGTGCTGGAAGTCAAACTGAGGATCTTGCTCATGCTAGGAAAGCACACTATTGATGAGCTACATCCCCAGGCCTGCGTATGATTTTAATGAGTATATTCATTGTGTGGAAGGCATTTACATAATTTATTTAGATTCTTCTCAATACTTGAAATTTAGCAGGCTAAGCAACCATTTCCACTTGAAGGCTAGGTGGGAGTGCCTCAGTTGGATAGTTAAATGGATGTTGGAATTTGGAAATTGCCTTTGCATTTACCATGAGGTCTGAAAACACTGCCAAAGCTGTAGGTTGAGCTTAAAACATGTATGTTAAGAATTTGTGTTTGCATGAAGATCTTGATTTAGCTTTTGACAACACAGGAAATACACAAAATGGATCCGTTGTGGCTTATAAT